AGTATTTTTCTTCATGGCATTTTTATTTTCTTTCGTAGCTCCAACTCTAAATTTGACTCCGGATCAGGTAAGTTAAACTTCACATTTTAAAAATGTAAAAGATTATTTGAATGTTCTGTATGTAAACGTGTGTCCTAAGAACGAGCTCTTACCGCCTTAAACTGATCATGTGCACCAGGAAACAAGCTGAATGTGGGACACAGTGTAGCCACGGGAGTTTCTGACTCTTGTAAATGTTGGAACAACTTTTAGAAACACATCAATAACAATAAGGTGTGCTCCAACACTTCTGTTATTATAGTTTATTTCCAGTAGACAAACAAGATGAATATTTTTACAGCTGCATCAGCTGAACAGAATTAAACTGTGGATCAACACAATCACACGTGGCTGTAGTGCGTCGTAGTTCATGTCGAAGCGATGGTCATTACACTTGGCTGAATGTCTCTTTTGTTGTGCATTGTTGTGTAAAGTTTTCAGGTTCATGAATATGAAAATAAATATTGTTAAATCTGCTTTTGACTAAAAGCTCTGAGCTGGTTTGGTAGAAACAAAGTTTCACTTCATGTAAACAAACAACCAAAAGATTCACAGTAACTCCGACACGAACGTAGCAACAATGTTACAGATGATGATGCAGCGTGTTGTTACTAGACGACATGATGCTGTCATGGTTACAGGTTGGCCATCCTTCAGCGACCTCGTGAAGGAGGAATCCGTTACTAAGGCTGATGACTTCTCCTATGGGATGCACAGAGTAGAGACTACTTGCAGTCAGGTACATCGTAAACTTGTTTACTCTTCTACTACGAGGTCGTCAGTCTGTCACACACAGACAACCATCCACTGTCACACCTGTGGGCCAGGTGACCTAACCCCACTGTATTCATGCACTGAATCATTTTAGGCTGTGTTACTGTTACTGATTTTCAATTAGACAGAAACATCGTTTCTCTCAGATCAGCGTTTGCCAAGATTCAGTACGACTCACAAAAACGAGACTCACAGCACTCACGTTTCTATGTTTCACCAGTTGTTACTTTCACTGTGACCCAGGCTCAACAAAATGTAGCTGAAGGGTTTTTAGAAAGCGTAACATTTGCCACTGGATCAGAACCAGACTGCTTTCAAACAGTTTCTGTTCTTGGCGACTGAATTTTCACCAAAATGATGCAAATAAAGTCATGTGGAGAATTTCTTTGCCTTTTATCAGGATCAGGAGTAAATCTCTTCCTTTCTGCTTCAGTGTGGAGCTCATCTGGGACACCTGTTTGATGACGGTCCGAGACCCACAGGGAAGCGATACTGCATCAACTCTGCCTCGCTGGCGTTTCAGCCTAAAGACACCGCGCCCTCTGCCTCCAGAGGTGGAGCTGAGGGTGGAGCTGCCAGCAGCTCTGTGAGCGATGAGAAGACTGAGCTGTGAAGAAGAAAAAAGCCCCTGAGATTCGCTCTGTCCTGACTTACTGTGTAAGAAAGAGGTGATTATGAGGTGATGTTCAGGATTCAGCCACCGACCAAATATTCTCTGTGAACAGTCGTGCAAGAAGGAAGTTGTGTATTTCTGTTTGAGATACAGGAAAAGATTAGAGGAAAAATCAGCTGTTTTCAATCATTTAATGATGCGCACAGGAACACACTTCATTTAAAGTTAATTCTCACTTATTAAAACTTGGTTAATGACTTTGGATTTTAAAAACAAACTGCTGTCGTCTCATTGTGTCGCACCAACCCTCTGCATGTCTCCTCTACATTCATCAAGCTTCACTCTGGTCTTCCTCTTTGCCTCCTGCCTGCACCGTCCCTCCTGCCCATCCAGGAGGAAAACCAGCATTCATTCCTCGTGTCTTTAGCACACACCTCCACCTTTGTGGGGGCTCACCTGCCTGCTCCGTACTCTCAGTACAGATCCCACCTCTCCGTCCCCTGCAAACGAGGACGGGCTCACAGCCCTGATATGATCTCACCCCCACCATGGACCTGTCTCACCTGACCCCAGGTGCCTTGCTATCCTCATGCACTTCCTGTCTCGTGCGTTCTCTAGATCTGCAGCTCTTTCTGACCTTCTTTGTATTTTTTCATCAACACTGTCAAACGCCTGTGGCGCTGCTCTGCTGCTCGCTGATTGTTCCTGGATTCAAAAACGTGTCCTGTATGTTCCTGGTGTGGCCGATCAGCTTCATCCACCCAAAACCTTTCATTTCCTGTGTCTGTTTGGATTGATCTGGTTTGTAGGCATGCACACAAACATGTAGACATTATTATATCATCACTTTGAAATGATTCGATTTTATGACCATATATTTTTGAAGACATGGTTGCACACTTATATTTTATTAATGATGTATACACTTGCTCCTTCTTTAGCTCCACCTTGAGAAATATTTGCAGTTTTTGGTCACAGTGTGAATTAAACTGGTGAATAAAAACTATCCAACACTATGACTTGCTGCTTGTATATTTAACACTGTAACGTATTTGTGGGTAGTCAAGGCAACACGAGACGGTTGTTAAGGGCTGGATCAGTGAGTTTTATCTTCTAGTATCACAAAGAGCAACAAAGGTTTCTTCTGGTCAGAGTAGATGTTACGATTAGACAATGAAAGTGTGAAGCAGGAATAGCAAAACCCAACATTATGAAACAATAATTGCTTTTGTGAACATTAAACTTTATACAAAGTGTTCTTACTATCTATCAGTACCTGTTATCTTTTTGTAGTCTGATTACTTCAGTTGCCTTGAACACTCTCCGTATGTCTGAACCTGCTGAGGTGCACGGTTGGTGGACCAGCTGTACGGTCATGGCCAAGTAGGCTGTTTGTACTCACTGGCCTGTTGATTAAGAAAACCTTGCTAGAACCGGACTGAACCCTCCAGAAGTGCCGTAATTCTTCATGGAATTGCTTCAACGTTACTGGAAACACTGGTCAGAGATTGTGGCATATTAACGTGGTAACATCACACATGCTGTAGATTTGTTAGCCGTACATCACTGATGCAAATCTGCTGCAACCCATTTATAAGATGTTCTTTTGGGTCAAGACTTTGGAACCCGTTTGAGTCCACTGAACCCAGTGTCATGTTCAAGAAACCAGTTTGAGCTGAACTTTATCCAAACTCATCAGTTGATGTCTACTTGTAGCAGGACAGCATGTCATAAAGAGATGAACCTAGTAAGCAACAACACTCAGGGAGGCTGTGGTGTTGAAGATAAGCAGCTGTGAGCTCTGAGATCCAATCTTCTTTAAGACGATGGGATGGAAAGCTGTTTGCACTGGGTCCTCCCCCCCTCTTTCTGGATGTCACATCCTCTGAGGTGACTTGTAATTTCGACCATTGTCACCATTGTTGACAGACCCTATCATCCTCTCTTTATGTTCTTTAACGTGACTTAAAACATAAATCAAACTTTAAAAGCACTAAATTACATTTAGTTAACAGACTAAATATATATGTATATGTAAATATTATGTAAACCCTAGATAAAGAAAATCTTAAATAGGAATGTGGAGGGGGGGGTCAAATGGGATATTGCACAATGGCAGGATGAGCAGCAGCACAGACTGAACAGCACAAAGTTTTTAGTGGCAGTTAGTACAGTATTGCACTTTAAAAAAATATATAAATACCAATAAAGTGAAGTGAGCAGTGCAGATTATACAGAGTACTTGTGAAGCTGCA